TTTATTGCAATGTTTTTTGCGCAACATTAATGATTTTGCGGAACAAACTTTTGACAGTCTGTATTTGTATTGTAACATTGACAGCCTATGGTTGAATAATGGGACCTCACTGTTGCGATGTAGTTTGCTTTTGGGTTTTTTGTAGGGTAGATCCCATATTCCAGGTTTAGGTTTTTCTGAGTCAGTTTTTTTATCGAAGGATTTTGAATTGTATGGATGGGCACTATCGCATCTTTTTCTTGTGAAAAATGTTTTTATGAAAGGAAGAAATTTTTAAAAAAGAGCTTACTTTTCTGATCATCTTTCAAGGTCCTCGGAATTTTTCTCACTTTTGATTGACCATATTATTTCACATTTTTAAACTTTTGGTGGGAGAAGATACAGTGGGTCTGGAGGGATTTACTACAGATTTAAGATCATGGTGTTAGTTGTTGTTTGGGTTCCCCCAGTGCTGCAAAGAAAGTTGATTTTAGTTTTTAGTTGTTATGCTAGTGGTAAAAGTAAATTAGTGGAACGATGATGATTTGTCGGTCCAAAGAACCATTGTTTCAAGGTGACAGTAATTGTCTGTTTGTAGGAATGTGGGAATACATTAGTGGTTTTAGTGTTGACGACACTGCCGAGATCAAAGTAGAGAGACAGTGATGATGAGATTACATCAGGAGAAGTGATGGAGTGAAGTTGACGGTGGCAAAAGGAGAGAAAGTGCGCGAAGAACCGTTAGCCCCATTTCTATTGTCTTTTTCGGAGTTTGTAACGCTTAAGGGGTATGACTGTTTAGGGGGAGGGGATGATAGGCGACCGGGAAGGGGGGAAGAGAGGAAATACGCAGAGTGATTTGGTGTTGCTGCCGTTGTTGTTGTTTATAAACCGTTGCAGCAGTCTCGTTGACATCGATGCTGTTGTTGATTGACTTGGATTGTCTTTTTCCCTCCCCGTCCGTCCCGTTCCCGCTCCCCGTACCCTCGGTTACCCGCTCATATGAACATGCGGTGGGGGATAGCATGTCGTCGTTTTGTAAAACAGCTCCCAAGTCTTTTGTTTCTGTTTTTTCTGGCATTGTCATTTTTTTTATCTTGATCTCCATAACTTACCACACATTTTGTTTTCAATCTTGCTTTCGATTGATACTAAAGGTCTCGTCTTCTTAGAAGAAATTGCTGCTTGTTTGTTTATTTAACCTTTTGCTACAGCATTAGGATGTAGTCTTGTAATTCCATGAGTCATTTTCAACTCCATCTGCATGAGGGTTTTGCTGAGATTACCACAGTCAGATAATGTTGAGCTTGTTTTTTTGATTTTTGTCATTGGGCTTTTCTAAATCGTGACCGTTGGTGAGCAGCTTTCTTGGATAGGTTTTGAATTATTAATTTTTTTGAAGCTAAATAGAGATCGTTATGGCGCCAAAGGCCGAAGGTAGGAAGAAGAAAGATCCTAATGCTCCAAAACAACCTCTTTCGGCATATTTCCTGTGGTTAAGCGAGAATCGAGAAAGAATCAAGAGTCAGCATCCTGAGGCAAAGATAACCGAGATCTCAAAAATCGCTGGAGCTGAATGGGGTCAGATCAGCGATAAAACGGTTAGCTTCTGGCACTATGCTTTTTAAAATCGCTTCACTTGGTCAAGCGGTGGAAGGAGGTTTAGTAAAGCAGTTTTTACAATTGACATTGGGTCTAACTGGGTTGTTTGGGTTGTCCTCTGTTCTGTCTTTTAAGTAAATTTCTTATGGGTTTTCTTTATGGGGTTCTTAAGGCGGTTACTGATCAAGAGTTTTATGCAAAATGGAGTTTTTCTGAAACAGGTGGATTTGGTCTCTGGTCATCGTTATCGCTTAGTTTTAATGGTAGGGTCTTAAATACCTGATTCGGTTTAGCTGAATGCCGTAACATCCATTTCCGCATATTGTTATGGTTTACTTTCAATGTAATTTTTATGGCGGGACGGTATTCACACCTTTTGTAGAGATGGGAAGAGATGGCAAAGAAGGAAAAGGAGCGGTATCAGAGGGAGATGACTGCTTATGAGCAGAGCAAACGACAGTGAAGCTTCGAATGATGCATGACAATCATTAACTATCGGAAACTTTAATTTTACTTTATTTTCATTGCGGTGTTTTTACCCATGTCATGAAAGCTTTTTATTTGACTGTATTTCTATGTTCATAAGTCGACATGTTTGTTGTAATTTTGTGAAATAAACATTTTTTTTATTTCTGCAAGTCTGTATCATGGCTTTAAGAAGGGGGCTTGGACAGTAAAGAAATTTGCTGCTGGTCAGTTCTGCGGTTAAGCAAACCAGCGGGGCTGAGACTGATGGCGGGTGTCAGAGTGTTGGGGGGCAGGCGTTGAAGTGTCTGCGTGGTACCGCCGCTTGGAATCACCGGGTTTACTAGATGGTAGGCCTTTTTACTGTAGGAGTCGCAGACAGGATGTTATCGTCTGCTCGGCTTGTCCAAGCACTTCTAGTGACTGGCTAAGTGAGTATGCTGGTTTGTGGCAGTATTCGTTTTTTCGCCAACGGGCGACAAGTTCTGCTTGGGACGCAGCGTCGTTGGATTTTTTAAATATAGCTGCGCGGGCTGCTGGAGATCCCGCCAGTTTTTGTTTTATATATTCAGGTCAGCACAGTCACCGAGCACGATCATTGTTGCCGACACTAACCGATCAAACATAAGGGCATAACTGCGGCACAACACGACGACTGTGAATGCAGTTTTGTTTATGAGCTGCCCATGGGTAGCAAACAAGTTCCTGGCTGGTGTCCAGCTGCATTGGTTGCGGGAATTTGAACTGCAATTTCGGTTTTGAGCGGGAAAAAACTCATTTCATTTGCTTCATATTTTCGACCAGTAATCCGCTTTGAAGGTTACGTTTATGATACGCTATGTCCGTGATGCTGGGAAATCAGGTTTACTGGTGTGATGGTTGCTGTAAAAATGGTTGTTTGGCTCTTATGTTTGTGCTGGACTGCTATGGAATGATACCATATAGCATATAGCTTTTTGGACTAGTGGAAAACAATAAACAGTGGCGTATCTGTCTCTCCGGGATAACAGGGTTTCATTAAAATTTTTGTACAGAATTAGTGAGGAGAAGTTAGGGCTGTCGCGGATGCGACAATTGACTATTTAAAAAAAAGTGTAAAAATTGAGGCACTTAGCGCCATATTATTTTAAAGAAATTAAGTGATAGCTTTTTGCTACCGGCAATTTGAGTACAGGGGGCATGTACTTTGTTTTTTAAGCTGTAAACAATATAAAAGAGGTTGAATTTGAAGAAGACTTCAGTTATCACGTTTTGTTCTTTTAGTATTGAATATTGCACTTCCTTTATCTCTTTTAGTTAATTTGTCATCTAATTTCTAGGCAGGTGAATTTTTGTCATAGATATGTCTTTTGGATTGATAAAGGCTAGTGAAAATTTTATAGATATCAAACATCCACTTCTCTGTACCTGTTAGGCTAACTTAGTTTTTCACTAAGCATTGTTGCACTTAGTTGTTGTCCATATTTTTTGGAACACAAAAAGGCGATTTTTTTCCCGGTCAAGTTAGTTCGTTTTACTCGGTTTTTCAAATTGAAAACTGAGGTTACTGCAGGTAAATGGAGGTCGGAAATGATTCAAAGCACGATGTTGATGAAGTAGCAACCTCTTCTGAATCAATAAGTAGTTCTCAAACAGAACTCTTCCAGAAGTTTCTTATTCTTGAGATGCAGTCAGAACTGTTAAAATACTTCTCTGCTAATACTGGAAGAGTTGAAGACGAAACTGGCAAAGAGGGTACGTTTTAGAATTAAATGTTGTCATTTATCTACTACTCACTCACATATTTTTGTTTGTTTGATAGAATTAACTATGATTGTATTAACAATTGAGGAAGTATGCAAAGTTTATTCATGCAGTTTACCTGGTGAGGTTAAATTATTCGTCATTTGTATTTTTGAGGATTTCAGCCCAGACTTTGTGCCATTTGAAGGATGAAGCGTTGCGCGCGGAGGAGGAAGTTGGAAAAGGTTTTGAAGAGCTCAGAAAAGTTTTATCTGTAGTCGAAAGTAATAGTTTTATTTTATTTTATTTTATTTTATTTTTATTTTTTATTTTTTTCGTAAGGCAGAGGATCTCGGTCTTGATTTCATCTGGTTGATTAGTCACATTTATTGCAGGAAGTTTAAACGCCGAGGAACAAAATAAATTAAATGAAGCCAAGGATTACTTTAAAAGTGTAAGCATCTTCTAACGCTTATGCAGAGAAGCATACGATTAATACATTAGAATAACTGATGGATTTTGAAAGGGAAAAGAAATTTTTAAATATTTTGGGACAGTCTAAGTCACAGGTATTTTACATCTAATATGCATGACTGCATTGCTATTAATTTAAAAGATCTTGGCTGTTTCAGCGTTTCTGGAATTTTATAACGCTAATATTTTTGCAGAAGAGTGAGGTTGCTCGATTGGAAACTGAGTTACAAACATTTATTGCAAAACATGGAGCAGATCTCGACTCGTCTATAGCACTGCGTAATGATCAGGCAGTAAGTTTTATAATTTTCTTGCTTAGCAAAAAAAAACTTCCCTTTTTTCCTTTCGCGTTCAGGTAATTTCTTTTATTCTGATTTTTGAACGAAGTTGAGCCGAGATTTTTGGAGCTATTTTTTTACATTTCTAAGTGTAACTTTATCATATATTTATTTTCCCAAGTGTAAATTTTCCTGTGGGTTTCAGATTTTCTAGTTTCCATTGGTTTCTTCATTTTTTTAGCTGTTGATTTTTTTAACTTGTAATTGAATACGTTGAATGCTTCGGCACTTTTCGCGTATGTTCTTCAACTCGTTTTGGTGAAATAATGGATTATTCATTGTCCAAATGTGTCAAGAAAATTTGGGGAGGTTAATGAAATTAATAATTTTAACAGGTACCTATGCTATCATTGATTTCCAGGAAGCGCTAGCGAGGACGAAAAACTACTTAGAGCAGTTAGAAACACGAAACATGGAATTGAAACAGAAGTTACGTGCTTCAAAGGAACAATGGGAATTGGTTGATAATTACTAGTGTATGGTGGATGCTCGTAGCAGTGCTTGAGTCATCTTTTTAATTGAGGTTTATTTTATTTTATTTTATTTTTTTTGTTCCTCGTATGCTGATAATATGGTTGGCATTAAAATTTTTAATCGTTTAATCTAGCAGTACGAAAACATTATATTGAGGTACTCAGCGAGATTTTAGATGACTTTTTGAGCAATTTGTTGAACTATTAACTCTGTCAGTTTCGTTGAACTTGTTGTTCTGTTGTTCATTAAGTATGTATTTGTAAAACTGGAGAGTGGTGGGCGGATGTTCGAAACGAGCAGGTCTTTTATATGCGTGCATTCGACATATTATTCTTTTTTGTAGAGCTTGTCTGATGTTTTGGGGCAGTTTGTATTCTTTGTTTGGGAGAGTGATTCTGGATATATTATTTTTTTCTGTGGAGAATCTCTCACATCTCTCATCTCTCAAACCTCGACAGCAGTGTATGGTACTTGAGCCTTTAGGAAGATATTGTGTAGCGTTTGGGCGTGGTTGGGTAGTAAATCCTGGGAGTGGAGTTTGGGTTTGAGTACCAACAAAAACGAGCTTATTTGATCCAAGAGCGAGACATGGTAGGAGTTCAGTTTTACCTGTTTAAAGAAATGGTTGTTGAGAAGAGGTGCAGTTTTTTCATTTTACTGGCGGTTGTTGTGGAAGTTGGTTCTGTTTTCTACCAGGGATGTCCGCTTGCTTGGTTTCTTGAGTTTTGCGCGTAATTAGAAGTTTCACATGACGGAAAACAGTCTCCTGTCTTTATATGAAATGCGACTGTAAAGTTTCTTCTAAATATGTGGGTTAAGTGGCACAAGTAGATTT